ATGATAAAATTCATAGAGACAAATATTATCATGTTTTCCCAACAATTGTCGAGTGGGAGGGACTACTTAAGTTTCTACCACAGACGTTGGACGTAGGAGTCCTATATTGTTGTAGAAATCAAGCAAGTGGTCTTCTTGATGATAGCAATGAAATGCGAGAAATGTGTGTCAACTGGGGCCTAGATTACGATGCCCTCGGTCCCAAAGGGTACGTACACAATGTTGACGGAGAAGATGAAGACAATGATAATGAAATAGTGCCAGATAGCGACAATAATGGCGAATGACAATTTTTTTTTCTTGGGGTGTATGCTAAATTATTGTACTGAAGTATTAATGCTAAATATCAATAAGACTTAACACCAATGGAAACATAATTTTATTTCATACATTCTACAAGATGAACATGTACATACACTTATTACAACAAATTATTGAAGTACAATACTACGGGTATCCTTGATAATTGGGCACATTGCATGAACTTCCACCGGGAGCTAAATTACTACCGCCATCCAAACCAGCTGAAGGACATTTATGATGGTCGTGTCCTGTTTGCGAGCATATGCCATATTTACGCGCATAAACGGTATCACCAATATTCATTTAGTTTCGTATACACATTCTTTTTTGCACTTGTCATTGACGCAAATACTCCTTGTTACACACCATTTTAAATGGTTCCGGCGGCCAATAATTCTCAGCACCCACTGACTGCAACTGTCCACTATAGGTGTTTAAGTATGCTGCAATACTATATTCTTTATCAACGTAGCTGGTTGCCGCGAAACCTGTATGTTGAAAGCACTTTATGGCATGTGAGCACGGCATGTGGTAGATGGACCATTTCCCACAAGAGCATAACCTTCTGGCTTCATTTACAGTGTGTATTATTCCCCCGATTTTGATGGATAGCGATGCGAACTTCAAAAATATTTCGCTCGTTGCAATACTGTAAATATGAATGCCAATGTGCTCACCTCCTGTATTTCTCAAATCTTTTCATTGGTATTGGCATAAATTCAACACCTTTTTCCATCATTGATGATGCACCTCTAGCCCTTTCAACAAACCTCTCCGCCATCTGTTTGAATGACATCCGCACCATGGCAGTGATAGGCAATCCACGTGCAGACTTCAATAACCCGTTAAAAGACTCTGACACATTTATAGTCAGAATTCCCCATCTTCTGCCACTATCCGCATGCAAAGTCCACTTGTCAAGCTCATGTAGCATCGACCAATGATAGGCTCCTTGGTCTTCCTACCTGATCGATTCCATGCGCCTCCTGAATTTACACTCTTGGTGCTCCGTTGCAGCCATCCACATTAAATCATGCAAATCCTTGTTGGGATGTGCTTTCTGGAAATTGGCCTTCAGGTGCCTCACACAGTAACGGTGGTAGGCATACGGTTCTTGCCATGCAGGCAAATTCTGTACAGAACTTAAAATACTACCATGCCGATCAGATCTTAGACAAATAACTGAACGTTGTCTGACAACGTGCTCCTTCAAGTGGTTCAAAAATAATGTCCATGTCTCTTGGCTTTTATTGGCACAAATAGCAAAAGCTAGGGGAAATATACTTCCATTAGCATCTACTGCAACGGCGATCAACAACTTAATATCATACTTTTCATAGACATGACGTCTATGGATATTACCGGCCGGCAATGCACAAAACCATTAATTGCTGGTTTAAATGCCCAGAACACATATCTGAATATATGTTCTGGTATTTTCGGACTCCGCTCAAGCTTTCATTTAACAATAGTCCCGGGGTTAAAGTGTTGCAATGCGGCCTTGTACCTGGGTAGAGATGCAAAGGACTTATCCCAGCTACCATAAACAATTTCAAACGCACGTTTGCGCCCGAGAAATACCCTTCTTTTGGTAATGGAACACCCATATTCCTGGTGGACAGATGTTATACACTCTTTGATCTTTTACCTTATGGACGCTTCAATATGTGGAAACAAGATAAGAGAAATCAAGTCAACATTCAAGTTAAAATGATTCTCACTGAATGTGTCCATTTCACAATTGTGGGTGCCAATGTATTTACCCACAACCCACACATTTATTTTCTTCTTCCTCGCACACAGCATCCAATTACAACCCATAAACTATCTATGGCAAATAACCTTGTATACATCCTGATATGACTCTGCTATCGTGATCTCATGACACTCTTTTATGCTATACATTCGCACCGCCCTACTTAGACGCGCTTTATCAGGAAAAAGCATGCCCTTTGACAGCATTGTTGCTCTAGATTCATCCCACATTGCTGTTCGAATTTTGTCAATATCCCTTGTGAGGGCATCCACATCTGGCATACTTGGCAAATGATCAAGGTAGGGAATCTCCCTTGAATAAAATGACACGTGAGACTCGTACACTCTTGGTTTAACGGGAGGTGGAGCATGCTCCCTCATCAAATCAGGTTCAGCATTCTCTTCCTCCTCATCATCACCCTCATTAGGGAAAGGTGTGTCATCTCCAGACTCATCGGCATCATTGTCATAATCATTATTCTCTTTCTGACTCTGCGCATCTGCCAGATCCCGATTAAATATATCGTCTTCGGGCAATTGAGTAAGGACATGACCTTCAAGTTGCTCGTTTTCACTACACAACCAACAAAATAATGAGTTACTCAAATTGATCCAAACTTTACATATAGCTTTATCACTTCACTTACAAATCATAATGTATTGATATCCCATAATGGACATTATCCTATTATTGATGACTCCCAGATGGACCACCATGATCCAACACACCAAAACTAGGCATATTCCAACTGGGCGTTGGTTCATAAATTGTAAAATTTATATATGGCCGGTACCCCCTGTGGAATATATGAGTATTAATACAAATTCAATACATCAAAAATAAACATCGTAACACAAAGGAAAATTGAAGTTTATCCCTCGGCTTGTGGATTATGTAAACTAGGAGAGAAATTATTTTCTCGCTCCTCATTCGCTCGTAGAAATAAGTTTAGATCATGCCAAACTCTTTCACCCGGAACCTGTTCGGCTAAAACTGTTCCAAAATAACCACCCGATGACTGAGGGATATCCCTACTTTGTACAACCTCATCATTGTGAACGTCTTCAGCCTTGACGTACATTTTCAATATTTTTATCACAAGAAATTCCCGGTATTCATCCGAAGTCCTCAAACAATCTCTCAGAGTTTCATCGTCTTCGATGTTAAACTCGGCATAACAAGCAACCCCATGCGGAGTGATAGAATACAAATATCTTCCGGTTACTTTAATATTCACCGTACGTTTGCCCACACTCATTTTTTTATATAAAAACAATATCAATATATCGTACTCCATTGTAAGTGGCAACTTAACATGATACTGTGGAGATAAACTATAGCTTACTGAGTTATTCACCACTACAACCTCACCCCTCAATATAATGAAACCCTAATTCTTCGCTATTCAGATATTATGACAAAATGCAAAATAACTTAATATTTCAGAAGACTTGATAATATTTATGGATGGATTTTTACAAAATCCTTAACCTCTTTAAATAAGGAAAAAATCAGTCCGGGGGTACAATTATTTGAGGTATAGCGCCTTAAATATGGGCGCTATACCCAGTTGAATTATTATTATGTCAGTTAAGCCCAGAAGAATCATTGGTGAGCCACATAATATATATAGCGCTGTAAGTTAGGGCGTTATATATATAGCGCCTTAAAAAAAGCCGCTATACTTAACTGGCAAACAGTCATTAAGGTATAACGCCTTATAAAATGGCATTATATATATTATGGTCACCAATTTGTTTTCCACATATTTTAATTCTTTGAGTCCAAAAGAATCACATTTTAATTCTTTGAGTCCAGAAGAACCACATTTTGATTCTGGATTCGTCTGGTGCTAGTCTTCACCCCTGACGGGTCAACAATTTTCCAGTAAGGTGTCTGCGGCTATCTAGGAGCATGAAGGGGAAATGGGTTGCAGACATAATGATAGTGAAGAAAAATAAAGTGAAATAGGAAAGAAAATAAAAAAGAAAAGAAAGATAATGAATTAAAAAAAGATTAATAGAAAGAAAAAGAATAAAAAAATAATTGATTTTACACGTGGCATGTAAAGATTGGTGCGTAATTTACACTTCATTTTTGAAACTGGGATTGGCTTTAAAAGAAAATATTATTACACTTCAAACATGTAAAGATAAAGGTACATTTAGCAAAATCGTTTAACGTTAGGAGGGTAATTATGAATTTTCCCTTTAGTTGTGCTTCAAACAACCCGTAACGAGTTGACATGAGATTGATTTAAATAGTATTTAAGTTTTAATCGTAACCAAATTTACATAATGTAAGATCATTTTAGTGATGGCAATTCTCCCAAAAGAATACAACATTTTCCAACTCTTTTTGTTCCTAATATTTCCATCGAACTGCTAAGCACCTTCATTCCAAGTCCAACCTCCTCCAACATATATCGGGTATTGCAACACATCAAACCGATTATTTCTCACTTCCTATTATATATTAATTAATTTGGACATTGTTAAATATAGAGTCAACTAAAACTTAACGAAAATTCTTTTTTTAAAAATCAAATAAATATATTAGAAGTTAATCGAACCAAACCTGAATTGATACTAATAAAAAGGAATCGAATCAATTGCAATAATTTGGAAAAGTATTATTTTTATTATAACAAACGGCTAAATAAAAAATTAAACCGTTAACAAAAAAATTTGGGTTGGTACACTTTTCTAAAAGTAAACAATAGAATTGAACCTCACCCCTAATCTGAAGTGAATGTATTTTAAAGCAAATATATTTTGTCCAAATAATGAAAGCAAAAAAAACAAACTACTAACCTTATTAAAATCCTCCAAGCCCACGTTGAAGCCACCCATTTATGACCAAAAGTAGGTTCAGTTTTAGAACATCTCAGTTCAGCACCCAGTTTTATATATATCCCTATAATAATTTATGCAAACCTTTAATCGAATAGAAGCTGCCTTGCAATCCCCTCCGTAAAGTAAAAAACTCTCCCCTTCTCTCTTTCTTTTCCTTCTTCAAATAATACAACATCTACAACTGACTTTTCCACCCTGCACTGCAAACCCTCAGTATTCATTACATCGCCTTCTCCACACGGCGAAAATTAAATTCCCACTAAAAACAGAGGTATTTAACTGCATTATATGATCCATGGTTTGCTTTGAAAGTCATGATAGATTCGTTTCACTTCCCATTTATCTCCTCATCTTGTTGGTATTATCATGTCCTATGATTCCAAATGCGGCAGCGCTGCCATCAAATCCCGAGAATCGGATCCGGTACCCACGTCCAAGTATTAGCCCAGCAATGGCCATTATCATAGTGGTTCTCATAGCTGCCCTGTTTTTCGTTGCACTTTTCTCGATTTACATCCGCTACCGCATCTCCACTAACGGTAACAGCATCCTCCAAACACTTTCCACGCGCCGCCGCCCTTCTGCTGCAACACGTGGACTCGACAATTCGGTCATCGACACTTTCCCCACCTTTGCATACGCCGAAGTGAAGGATCATCATATTGGCAAGGGTGGTTTGGAGTGCGCAGTATGCTTGAACGAGTTTGAAGACGACGAAAAGCTGCGGTTGATCCCAAAGTGTGATCACGTGTTCCACCCTGAATGCATCGGTGCTTGGCTCAAGTCTCACGTCACTTGCCCCGTTTGTCGAGCTGACCTTACTACTCCTCAACCTGATGTTAAAGCCCAGGAGGTACTAAACCGTGATCAAGAAGGGACAGAGAATCTGCAGCAAAATAAGGAAGTTTCAATACAAATAGGGAGTGATGAAAATTTAACACAGCAAGAGGAGACCTCTAGTGTTAAGCGATTGAGTTTCGACGTGCCGAACCGGCCACCAAGATCGTTTTCTATAAAGAGACCAAAGATGCTGAACAAGTTTAGGTCACACTCGACTGGCCATTCATTGGTGGTACCTGGGGAGAATTTGGACAGGTACACTCTCAGATTATCAGAGAATGTTAGAAAAGAGGTAATGAACCGGGCACTACTAAACCGGACAAAGAGTTGTGCAGTCACTTTACCAAGACATGGTAGCACTAGAAGAGAGTACAGAAAAGGTGCCGGGGAGGGAAGCAATAACGAAGTCTCAATACAAATAGAGAGTGATGAAAATTTGATGGTACAACAAGAGGAGACCTGTAATGTTACGCGAAATTTGAGTATCAACATGCCGAAGCGGCTACCAAGGTCGTTTTCTATAAAGAGACCAAGGACGTTGAGCAGGTTTAGATCACACTCGACCGGCCACTCATTGGTGATAACGGGGGAGAATTTGGACCAGCATACTCTTAGATTACAGGAGAATGTTAGGAAAGAGGTAATGAACCGGGCATTGCTGCTGAACCGGACAAAGAGCTGCGCAGTCACTTTATCAAGATATGGTAGCACTAGAAGAGGGTATAGAACCGGAAATGGAGAAGGAAGAAAGATTGTACCACCGTTCTTTACTAGAGGTCCATCGATGAAGTCACCGAAAATAATGGCTGATATCGAAGAGGGGTCCACTTCACGCAGTGTGAAAATGGCAGTCAAAATGCCGTCGTTCAAATGCTTGGAGCCAAAAGGTGATGAAGCCAGTTTGCTGACAAATGAGTTGGCTTGAACTCTAGTTTAAAAAACTCAAGCCTGTTTAGTTGAAAGTCATCAACCATAGCATGATCCATACTAGTTTTGTTGCAAAGTACAATGCCAAAAGTTGAAATTCAAGATTGTCCATTTCTAGAAATTCTTTAAAATGTTGATTAATTGTTTACGAACAAATAATTTTCAACTTTTTGGTTTTTGCGGGGTTAGAGGAGGTTCAAGTGTGTTTTTCTAGTTGGTGGTTTTAGTAATTGAGACACATTCAATGATGTAATTATGTTTTTGGTTCTCGGTTTCATTCTTCAATGCAATTTTAAGACAAGAAAATAGAAAAGCTGAAAGAGAATATACTCGATACTATGTCTTTTATTTCCTTGGTTAAGATGATGGTGCTGATCTCGATTTTCTCATCGTCTGGAAGTGGTAAGTATTATGCAGCGCATTCTGCAAACGGCAAAATGGATATACTAGTCGTGCAAGAAAAAATATATTATTGTTATGGGATATTCAATACAATACAAGAGGTCCTTATTTATAGTTATACAAGGACATACTACTCCTATTCTAATGTAAGACAAGACTACACTATCTACATAGCTGTAAACTAACACTCCCCCTCAAGCCGGTGCATACAAATCATATGTACCGAGCTTGTTACATATATAACTAATACGAGGACCAGTGAGAGACTTGGTGAAAATATCTGCAAGTTGATCATTCGACCTCACAAACTTTGTAGCAATCTCTCCTGAAAGCATCTTTTCTCTGACGAAGTGACAATAAATCTTAATGTGTTTAGTTCTCTCATGGAACACCGGATATGATGCAATATGAAGGGCAGCTTGATTATCGCACACAAGTTCCATCCGACTGATTTCACCAAATTTCAACTCCTTGAGTAATTGTTTGGCCCAGACTAGCTCACATGTTGCTATAGCCATTGCTCGATATTCTGTTTCTGCACTAGACCGAGCAACTATATTTTGTTTCTTGCTCTTCCAGGACACCAAATTGCCTTCTACTAAAATACAATATCCAGACATAGAACGTCTATCAGAAGGTGATCCTGCCCAGTCAACATTTAAGTATCCAACGATCTGCTCATGACCTCGATCCTCAAACAATAACCCTTTGTCTGGAGTCGATTTTATATACCGAATAATACAGACAACTACATCCCAATGACTATCACAGGGAGAATTCATAAACTGACTTACAACACTCACATGATAAGAAATTTCGGGTCTAGTCACTGTGAGATAATTTAATTTTCCAACCAGCCGCCTATAACTTGCAGGATCGCTAAGCGGCTCCCCTTGTCCTGGAAGAAGTTTAGAATTCGGATCCATCGGAGTGTCAATAGGTCTACAATCTATCATCCCTGTCTCCTCAAGAATGTCTAAAGCATATTTTCTTTGAGAAATAACAATACCTGAGCTAGACTGGACAACCTCAATACTTAGAAAGTACTTCAATCTGCCTAGATCCTTAGTTTGGAAGTGCTGGAAGAGATGCTGCTTCAGATTGGTAATACCATCCTGATCATTGCCAGTAATAACAATATCATCAACATAGACTACCAGATAAATACAGAGACTTAAAGCAGAGTGCCGATAAAACACAGAGTGGTCAGCTTCACTACGAGTCATGCCAAACTCCTGGATAACCATGCTGAACTTACCAAACCAGGCTCGAGGAGACTGCTTTTGACCATAAAGTGACCGACGCAAGCGACATATAAGGCCACGAGACTCCCCCTGAGCAACAAAACCAGGTTGTTGCTCCATATAAACCTCATCCTTAAGATCACCATGAAGAAAGACATTCTTAATGTCAAGCTGATAGAGGGGCCAATGACGAACCGCAATCATGGATAGAAAAAGGCGGACTGAAGCCACTTTAGCCACGGGAGAGAAGGTATTACTGTAATCGAGCCCAAATATCTGAGTATATCTTTGGCAACAAGACAGGCCATCAGGACCAACTTTGACTGCATAAACCCAACGACAACCAACATTAGATTTACTTGAGGGAAGAGGAACAAGCTCCCAAGTACCACTTGTATGTAAAGCAGACATCTCGTCACTCGTAGCCTGTCACCATCCTGGATGAGACAACGCTTCACCTGTAGACTTAGGGATGGAAACCGAGGACAAAGAAGATATAAAAGCATAATGGGGAGATGATAGATGATGATAACTCAAACCGACATAATGAGGATTAGGGTTAAGTGTGGTCCGTATAACTTTTCAAAGTGCAATCGGTGTATTAGGAGCAGGGTCTGAAGTAGGATCAGGTTCAGGTGCAGGACGAGAACCAGTTGGGCCTGATGTAGGGCGCGAACGATGATGATAAGTCAAGAGTGGTGTTCCTGTAGCTGGGGAACTAGGAAGAACAACACTAGACTCCTCAACGGTTGGTATGGGTGAAACCTCTATGGTCGAAAGTGGAGGGGGAGCTATAGTAAACTCCTCAAAGGTCGGTATAGGTAAGACCTCAGAGATATCATGGTGGTCAGCAGAAGTAAAGAAAGGTTTAGACTCAAAAAATGTAACGTCAGCTGACATAAGGTACCTACGAAAATCTAGAGAATAACAACGATATCCCTTCTGAACACGAGAATAACCAAGGAAGACACACTTGAGAGCACAAGGATCTAACTTATCTTTCCCAGGGGCTAAGTTATGAACAAAACACATGCTCCCAAAAATACGGGGTGGAAGAGAGTATAAGGGTGACTGGGAAAACAATACTGAATGCGGAATCTGACCCTTGATGGGAGATGAATGCATCCGATTAATCAAATAACAAGTTGTGAGAACTGCATCGTCCCAAAAACACAATGGAGCACGAGATTCAATTAGAAGTGTGCGAGCATGTATCACCCCAGAAAATTTCGAAGCACTTAAGTGTAAAGCCCAGTAAAATTTTGCAAAAGAATATAATGTTTCGTGGTGTCGAATTGGGCTTATGTGCTTGAGGATTGTATAAATTCTTCACGGCGATCTTGCTCGCCGCGGCTCGGACTTTTTGGGTTGAACAATGCACTGAGGGATAAAGGAAAATATTTGGCAGAGAAATGCATTTCTGCGGTCCATTATGCAATCGCAGAATCACTCTGCGGACCTCATAATGGCCGCAAAGTGAGGCAGGAGAGGGGAAGTTTTGGATGCCATTTTGTGGTCGACTATGCGACCGCAGACTTGCGACCGCAGAACAAGTCTGCGGGTCGCATAGTGACAGCAGATCCAGGCAGATATTTGCAAGTTTTGGACATAAATTATGCGGCCGATATGCAGTCCGCATATCGATTATGCGATCGCAGACCTTGTTCCGGAGCTTCATTTTTGGGTTTTTATAATCCGACCCTACTTCGTTAAATACACTAAAAGGATCATTTTTGAGCAAAAATTCTCATGTTTTAGAGAGAAGGGAGAGTGTCTTAGAGAGAGAGAAAACCCTAGGCTAATTTTCATCAATCTTTGCTCAAATCTTGGACGATTAACAAGGAAAACCCACAAGGTCTTCATCCTAAAGGTAAGATGCTACACCCTAATACTCAATTTCGAATTTTGTCTAGAATTGGGTAATTAGTAAGATAATGTTTTGGCATGGGAGTTGTCCATCTTGCATGCATGTGTTATCAAGGGGTGTAGGAAGATTGTTGAACTAAGCATGGTAAGAAATGGGTTGTGGGATGATGGAATCCTCCATAAAAAGGACCTTGAAACTTTAATATACACCTAGTGTTTGATAAAATGCTTAAATGAGCTAGAACCATGATCATCTTCCTAATTTTGGTTCAATTTGTTATATTTCTACAATAGATTGAAGTTGCTAAGAATTTCAAAATATTTTAGAGTTTAAGGAAGCTCCATTGAGGTATGTTGGCTACAATAGATTGAAGTTGCTAAAATACTAAATACGGCCAACGTGCCACAAATGATTTTATAATTATGTCCATTAGTGCCAATGAAATGAAAATATGTAGAAGAAGTATGAAATGTGATAATTGATATAAAAGGTTGATGTCTCGAATAAGACAGCCTAGCCGATCAGGTCGTGATCGGACACCATGCCGTACACATGGTGGTGATTGTGTTGAAAATTGTAATTGAAAGAGTAATTATGGTCTATGTCCCTAATGGATAGCCTAGCTGATCGGGTCGTAATCGGACTCTGTGTTAAATATGGTGGTATTGATATTGAGAGTAATTGTGGTTGATGTCTCTAATGAGATAGCCTAGCCGATCGGGTCGTGATCGGACTCTGTGCTGAGAGCACGGTGGTATTGGTATTGTAAATAATGGTATTGTGAACAATGGTATATAGATACTAAAAATCTCCCAATGTGAGATATGGAAATTAATTTGAACTCTGTCTTGATCCTAAATTGAGGTTTGGTGTTGTTTAAGGCTTACATTGATATTATGATATTCTTGTTTGTATTATTTATCATTCTATTGAGAGGGTGTTTTGTCATTCATACTAGTACTATTCCATATGTACTAACGTCCCTTTTGCCAGGGGCGCTGCATCTTCAATGGATGTAGGTGGTTCCACAGCAGGAGACATTGATTAGTGACAATGGTACATCCTCTTCCCAGCTGACTTGGTGAGCCCCACTTCATTTCAGGGTCATATATCTTTTGTTTCTCGTGTATTATGTTTGAGGTATAGCCGGGGTCTTGTTGCCGGCATTATCATAATACTCTTTTGTATCTATTAGAGGCTCCGTAGATATAGTGTGGGTTGTGTATTGGTGATGGGAAAGTCAAACTATGTTATATTGTGGTTGTATTACTTGTCCATTTGAGACTTTAAAAATAATGAAACTTATGGTAAGAAGTTGGTATTGCAGACATGATCATCTTGTTGTCTAATTAACGAAAATATGTATCCTATTTATTCATGGATGAGTTTGGGTAGAAGAAAATCTAATAGGCTTGCTCGACCGGGTTCATTCGGTTGAGCACTGGTCGCGCTCCCCGGTTTTGGGGCATGACAGAGCAATCTCAATAAGGTGCCTATTCTTTCTCTCAACAACCCCATTTTGTTGAGGGGTATAAGGACAAGATGTCTGATAAATAATTCTTTGAGAAGTCATAAACTGCTGAAACGGAGAAGATAAATATTCTAAGCATTATCACTGCGAAAAATACGAATAGAAACACCAAATTGATTTTTGATTTCAGCACAAAAACTCTGGAATATAGAAATAACTCAGAACGATCTTTCATTAAGAAAAGTCAAGTACATATTGAATAATCATCAATGAAACTAACAAAATAACAAAATACCAAGGTTGAACTGACTCTACTAGGACCCCATATATC